GGGGCATGGATTTTAGATTTTTATATATGTACATTTGTGAACCTTTTTGTCTCTCAGGAGGGGTGGAGTCTGACGGACCCCCAAAGAAGCTTTTTGTCGCCGGGGTGACAGATCCCGCCCACCGCAGCAGCTACACTGTCAGGTGAGGATCATCTTGAGCACATGTCAGTCGTAGCAGTATGAAAGTTTAAATAACAAATAAAGCTTCCTCTTCTGTCTCCCTCCTCAGTGTCTCACAGTCAGCGGAAGACTCTCCTCCTGCAGGAGGCGTCAGTCCTCAGTCCAGCCCTCTGTCTCTGTCTCCTCCCCCTTCCTTCACCCCCTTCACCTCCCACCAGCACCCCGGACACTAAAACCCTCCTCCCCCCTGCTCACCCAGAGTGCTGACCCTGTCACTGTGGGATCAGACCGACCACCAGCAGCTCCAGAGACCCTCAAACACCTGGAGGAACATCGACCCCATCGCACCTTATTTTGGTTCAAATCATCTGCCAGCATCACTGTAAGCCCCGCCTCCCTAATGGACAGACAAATCACAGGAAGTGAAGATGTGACACATTCGGAGGTGAAGATCACCTTCAGTTCAGCCTGCTCTCTGCTCTCTGAGCAGGATATTTCTTTTGCATCTGTGAAGCTTCAGACTTTTTTGTTGGTCGGTCATCACACAGCATCACTCTTTCTTTCAAGCATCAGGCAGAAGGACATATACGCTGTGTCACGTGTGCGGCTCCACCCCCATCAGAGGGCGTGGCCTTGAGGTTCAAACTCCTCACTCTCATGTTAAAGGATAAACAAAGGATTCATCAGCAGCACCATCGTGAGATCACGGAAAACGTTTGGGAAACTGAGGACACACTGGTTGTGTCGTCAGACTGGAATCGATTGTGCTCACTAAAAGAAAAGGGTGTTGTTGGTAGTTGTGGGGAGCAGATGAGCAACAGACACACCTCCCCAATCTCAATGTGTCCTGTGGACCAAGCAGCTGATCCTGATTGGTTGCAGAGAGGAGTTAATGTTATACAAGTTGTGCTGATTCAAGGATAAAAGAACAAAGCACCTAAACGTCTCTGCCTGAAGACGTCTCTCGTTCCTCAGCTTCATTCTTCAGATTTGTTCTGCAGACATCAAAAGAGTCGGAGCCTTACATGGGATGACTTCCCATTGGAGGATGCAGCTCTAATCTGACCAATCAGTCGATGCTGTTAGTGAAGCTCCAGATCTTCTCTGATCAGTTATTCTGAAGAAGTTCTAATAGGATCTTGAGTTTTAATCAAGATGTAATTGCGGGTGATGACTAAATGTTCTCAGACTGTTGATCACAATCGTCTCTCTAAAGGAGTCGAAGTTCTTCAGGAACATTTCGTTCCACCCACAGTGATACAGTCGACACCTACAGGAACTGAACTACACAGAGAACCTTCAGCCGGTCCTCTGCTTATTGTCCTGGAGTCGCACTTGTTGGAAGTCATGTAATTTATGAGGACAATATAGGAATCACATGATTTATTTAGACACGGTCTTGAAGATGAAGTCATGAGAACTCATAACTGATGGGTCTGTGGAGTAACATCTGGACTCTCCCAGCACTTAAACAAATCAGCGAACCAGGGTTACACACTACGCAAAGTTAGTCCCTCCAGGAGGTTGCAACAGTAAACGCAAATTCAGCCAGACCTCGTGAATTCTGCGCAGCCCTGCAATTTTGTCCCATCGAGGCAACTTAACCGCAAACGTTAATAGCCCTTCTGTGCAGAGTTTGCATGTTCTCCCTGTGTCAGCGTGGGTTTCCTCCAGGTGCTCCAGCTTCCTCCCACAGTCCAAAGACATGCAGGTTAATTGGTGACTCTAAATTGTCCGTAGGTGTGAATGTGAGTGTGAATGGTTGTCTGTCTCTATGTGTCAGCCCTGTGATAGTCTGGTGACCTGTCCAGGGTGAACCCTGCCTC